ACCATGGTGGAGAGCACTACTCACGAGAATGAGAAGAAAAAGGAAATAAATGATTTACTTTTCTCTTTTCCCTTATTTAATATCTCTAACAAGGATATATATTTTTAAATTCATTTATCTTCTTAACAGACCAAAATGCCCTCTTACTTTATCAATTAATACAATTTTGTCTAAATAATATTTCAAATCATTCTCATCTTTTATCATTTACTCGAATAAATCCTCATATTTTAAAATCATTTCAATAAAGTCCCTAATTCAATATTTGGGATATTATAATTCTCCCCCTTAAGAAAAATTCATCCTCAAATTTAAAGACCTTGTTCGTTTACCACAATACTACTATCAGAGGGATCGTTTTACTATAAAATCTCTGGATTTTCTCTAGTCCTAATCTATACTGATTCTTTTTCATGATCCACTTCTAATTAAATTTATATTTTCAAGTTGGCTCTATTCAAACCAAGTCACCAACCCAATTCGTTAACTCATAGTGCCTCTTGTTTTCACCCAAATGCATAGTTAACGTTTGTAATATCTTAAAAAGAATATATTCCTTTAAAAACTTAGTCAGCAACAAGGCTAACATCGAAAAGTTCTTTCCTAACATTGGTAATTTTTTTTCTGTTAATATAAATATTTATTGTTTATTGAACGAAAAAAAAATAGTTGGATGACCAAAACATAATTGCGATAATAGTTGAGTTACTAAATCTGTAGTTTAACCTAAAAAAATTAAACAAAACTGCTGACATGAAACTTTTTTATTTTCTTGATGATGACGTGACATTACCTTACGGTGTAATGCTGACACCATCATTAATTTTTTAATGACGGATGGCTAAAACGGAACCAAAACATTAAGTAACAAAGATAATTGGGTGAGTAAATAAGTAATTTACCCTTTAAAGTATTGGTGGTATGGGGTTTCAACATTCCAGGGCCTGAAATGACTGCATGCATGCAAACTGGTTAAAAAAACGTGTGAAAATATTTTTTCAAACCGTTAAAAAAATTAGAATATGTTTTTGAATATGCAAACTGGTTTGCTATTTCTACGAAAAGATAGCTAAGCAATCCAAAATGGGCTATAAAGGTCAAGTATTGTTGGACCAAAGCATATCCAAATCTAAGAGAATTCGGACGTCGGTTATCCTCTACTCTTAGATGGCCCAAATCTAACTAATATCTTATAGATCAGTTATATAAAATTAGGGTAAATTACAAATTTCACTATTCTATTTTAACCTAAATCCTATTTTTGATAATTAAACTTTAAAATTTCCAACTTAATCACTTAGTTTTGACATTGTTCTTGTTTTGATCACTTCACTATTAAATCACAAATGGCGTGATGACATGATTTTTTTTGCCGACGTGAATTGTTTTCACTAACGTGGAACACCACGTGTTGTCCATCCCATTCTCTCTCTCTCTCTTTCTTTTCATTTCATCATATTTCCAATAATTTCATCATTTTCATCGATCATTTCCTTTCGTCGCCTATCATCTTCAATCAACGATTAGTCAAACACCCGCTCACGTATTTGCTTCAACCATTATAGTTGAATCAATAATAACATCAGCCCTATAAACCATTCTTGTTTAAAACATATAAAAATGAAGATGGTGCTCGCTATGTCACATAACAATATATCTGTTGAGATGTTAAGAGTTAGTTTGAGGGTTTGTTAATTAGTTAATGATTAGTTAGTGCATTAGCCTTGTATTTGAGCTATATAAAAGAATATTGTACAGATTAGTATAAGAAAATATACGAGGTATTTTTCATACGTGTTTTAACATGGTATCATTTGAAAAGTCTCGTGTGAAATCTCGCCCTCTCTAATTTTCCCCTTTTCTTCACTAAGTGTCGTTTCCCCCCCTTTTTCCCCCATGGATCCCATCGATTTTACTCATTCTCTTTACCTTCATCCATCGGATACACCGGGGACAGTGCTGGTTTCGCATCAACTGACTGGAATCGAGAACTACAATATGTGGAGCCGTTCGATTTGAATTACTTTATTGGCAAAGAATAAGTTAGGGTTCATTGATGGCGATTACACGCGTGGTGATTTCGGTGAGATATTGCAATCACAGTGGGACAGGTGCAATACACTCGTTCTTTCATGGATCCTAAACACTATGAGCGCTGATCTCTCTGCGGGATTGGTGTTTGCTTCTACGGCAGCGCATGTTTGGAATGATTTGAAGAAACACTTTAGTAAAGTTGATGGCTCTCGTATTTTCTTCCTACATCGAGATATTGCTCTATTTACTCAAGGTGGTCCTCTGTTTCATCCTATTATTCGCATCTAAAGCTTCTTTGGGATGAGTACAATGCGTTAGTCCCTGTCTCGTCGTGTAATTGTGTTGATGCTTCCCAAGCGTTGAATCATATTCTTCAGCAATGTTTATTTCAGTTCTTAATGGGACTGAATGAAACGTATTCTGCCATTCAGAGTCAGATTCTCCTTCTGGATCCGATTACTTCAGTGAATCGGGCGTATTCGATGGTGGTTCAGGAGGAGTCCCAACTTGGTTTTTCTTCAGGTGTTTCACCACTGTCTGATACAGTGGCCATGTATTCCAACTCTGCTAATTCTCACCGAGGACTATTTAATGGAGTGTACGACTTTTGTAAGATCCGTGGACATAAGCGTGACTAGTGTTATAGACTCTGGTGATGCTGTTGCTGCCAATTTTGTAGGTATGGTTCATGATGGTTTACCAGCTCCTATGACTAATTCTATTACCTGGATTCTTGACATTGGAGCTACTGACCATATGTTGTCTAATTTTGAATGCTTGAGTAATCCTGTTGCATGCTTCTCCCGTTTTATTCATCTTCCAAATGGTAAAACCCTTCCTATAACACACGTTGGTTCATTTTGTTTTGATTCATCTCACTGCCTACATAATGTCTTATATGTTCCTGTATTTTCTCATAATTTGTTGTCTGTCTCAAAATTGATCATTGTCTTAAATTGTGTTGTTCATTTCTATCCTGACTTTTGCATCTTTCAGAATCTATCCAATGGCAAGATACTGGGGATTGGTAGGAAATATGGAGGCTTGTATGTTCTTCATTCTTTTGGTTCTTTTCTTAGTAATGTTTCTAAGGCTCCTAATGTATCTTTTGCTATTACACCTCATTGTATATCCTCTGTTGATAATAAAACATCCATTTGGGATGCCCGATTAGGTCATGCTTCTTTTCTCAAGTTGCATCATATCTCATTGAAGGATTATAAACTAGATTCTTCTGTTATTCATTCCTGTACTGTTTGTCCTTTAGCTAAACAAACTCGTCTTCCCTCTCTAGTTAGTCAATCTCATTCTAATTTTCCTTTTCAGTTAATTCACATGGACTTATGGGGTCCATACAAAATTTCCACTCATAGTGGTCATAGATTTTTTCTAACAATAGTTGATGACTGTACAAGAATGACATGGGTATACTTATTAAAACTTAAGTCTGATGCTATTATCTCTTTAAGGAAATTTCTTTATTTGGTCTTTAATCATTTTGAGGCTTTTGTCAAAACCATTCGTAGTGATAATGGGTCTGAGTTTTTTAGTAAAGAGTGTTATTTTCTTTTCTCCTCCTTTGGCATTGTTCATCAGTCGTCTTGTGTTGACACTCCTCAGCAAAATCGGGTAGTTGAAAGAAAGCATAAACACCTATTAGAAGTAGCTAGAGCTCTTCGTTTTCAGTCTCGTGTTCCTATTAAATTTTGGGGAGAGTGTGTTTTAGCTGCGTGTTACTTAATTAATAGGCTGCCTTCTGTTGTCCATAATTGGAAATCTCTATATGAAATGTTTCATCATAAGCCTCATTCTTTGTTACACTTAAAGGTTTTTGGTGGCTTAGGTTATGCTACTCAAACTAAGCCTCGTGATAAGTTTGTTCCTAGGGCTATTCCTTCGATTTTTATGGGATACTCGGATACTCAAAAAGGTTATTTAATGTTTAGCCTTGTGTCTAAGACTTTTTTTATGAGTAGGGATGTTCGGTTTCATGAGAATTCTTTTCCTTTTCATTCACCTGAGCTGTCATCTTAGTTATTTCATTCACAATATTTTGTATCTGATTTTGAGTTTTTTGTAATTGATTTACCTTTATCCGATGTGTCTCCAAATTCAGTTTCTCAATAGTCTGCTTCTAGTCATTCTTTTAACGATCCGTGTTTTGCTATTATTGGTGTAGAGTCTCCTGCACTTGTTTCTTCTCCTTCTTCTAATGCCCATGTTCCTGTTGGTCATGTTGTTAGGAAGTCTTCTAGAGTGTCCAAGCCTCCACTTTGGTTAAATGAATATGTTTCTTGCCAATCATCCACTTCTAGCTTTCATCCCATTTCAAATAACATTTCTTATTCTCATCTTCCATCTCACACCCAATCGTTTCTTTCATCCACTTCCATTATTGAACCTACTAGTTATAATGATGTTGTTAAAGACCCTTTATGGGTTAATTCCATGCAAGAGAAGATTCAAGCATTAGAATTAAACAATACTTGCTGCGTAGTTCCTTTGCCACCGGGAAAGGTCCCCATTGGATGCAAATGGATATATAAGGTTATGTTTCGATCTAATGGTGGGGTTGAACGATATAAAGCATGTTTGGTTGCGAAAGGCTATAATCAACGAGAGGGTGTGGATTTTGTTGAAACCTTCTCCCTTGTTGCTAAGCTGGTTACCGTACAAACGGTTTTGGCGCTTGCTTCTTTGCAATATTGGTCTATGTTTCAAATGGATGTCTATAATGCATTTCTTCAAGGAAACTTGATTGAGGAGGTTTACATGCAATTACCTCAAGGATTTTGCAGCCAGGGGGAGAACATGGTCTATAGGCTGTAGAAATCTATTTATGGTCTGAAGCAAGCATCTCGGCAGTGGAACATGAGGCTAATTGAAGCTTTGGTAGCTACTGGTTATGTTCAAAGTATGTTTGATTACTCACTTTTTACAAAAAAAAGGGAACAAAAATAGTAATCATGCTTATATATGTTGATGATCTGTTGATTACCGAAAATGAGGCTGCCATGATAGAAAAATTGAAAATGATTTTGCACGCTAGCTTCAGAATGAAAGATTTAGGTGAACTTAAATACTTTCTTGGTTTTAAGATACTTAGATCTAGCAAAGGGATCTTGTTAAACCAAAGGAAGTATGCATTAGAACTGATAGAAGAAACAGGATTAGGAGGTGCTAAACTTGTTTGTTCTCCTATGGAGTATAATATTAAGCTTACCATTGCTGGTTATGATTTTTGTTTGATTAAAAGTGGTGGGAAGAAGATAGATGATGAAGTGCTGCAGGGTGAAAAAGAAATCTACAAGAGGTTGATAGGTAGGTTGATTTATCTCACTCATACAAGACCATATATCACTTTTATGGTACATCATCTGAGTCAGTTCATGCAACAACCAAAAAGGTCTCACTTGGAAGGAGCTCTTCGAGTGGTTGAGTACATAAAGAAGAATCTTGGTCAGGAGATCTTATTGTCTTCTGCAGGACAATGTCAACTATTAGCCTTTTGTGATGCTGACTGGGCAGCTTGTTTGATGACAACGAGATTAGTTACTGGATTTTGTGTCAAATTAGAAAACTCCTTAATTTCCTGAAAGTCAAAAAAGAAGAACACCATAGCAAGATCATCAACAGAGGAGGAATAAAGAAGTATGTCAATGGTAGCAGCAGAAATTGTATGGCTAAAAGGTCTGTTAGTAGAGTTGGGTGTGAAGGATCTTCAGCCGGCTAAGCTTTACTGTGATAGCAAGGCGGCACTGCAGATTGCAGCAAACCCGATATTTCATGAGAGGACAAAGCATATTGAAATAAATTGCCATTTTATTCGTGAGAAAATACAAGAAGGGGTGATTTGTACATAATATGTTTCATCTATAAATCAGCTAGCAGACATTTTAACCAAGGCTTTGGGTACTCAGCAGGATGAATATTTAATTTCCAAGTTGGGAGTCAAAGATGTCTTTAGACTGCCAACTTGAGGGGGAGTGTTGAGATCTTAAGAGTTAGTTAGAGGGTTTGTTAATTAGTTAATGATTAGTTAGAAGTTAGTTAGTGCATTAGCCTTGTATTTGAGCTGTATAAAAAATGTTATACAGATTAGTATACGAAAATATATAAGGTATTTTTCACACATGTTTTAACAATATCTAATCTTCAGTCTTGCCTTAATGGTAGCACATTTAAAATATTAATTAAGTCGGTTAAAATAAAAGAAAAATTGAAAAGGAAGAAAATAAATGCTCACATTTCATTTATGGTGGATCTATCAAAGTCTTAATTTGAAGATTTTAACAACAGACACCCTTTTGAGATGAGATGCAACATATATTTTTCGGGCTTCATTCAATGGCAGGTGATGGATCAAAGAAAAAGAAACAAAACGTTTAACACTAGATTCATGAAATTTAGGGTGTTTTCTGATTATACGGATGCCAAATTGGTGTTCAAAAGAACAAAACGAATTTGATGGAAAATTTTGAGACTCATCAATCATTGGTGAATGCAATCAAATTGAAGACTAATATGATGCTCAATTGTGGCAAGCGGTCACTAAAATCTATGTTGGTTCGGATAGAGAGAAAGGAAATGAGAGAAAGAAAAAAAAAACAAAAGAAAAAGAAAACAATTTTTATAAAATTTAAAAATAATGTATTGGTGTAAATTTATTTTGTTGTAGAGATCCAAAATGGTACCATTTTGGTTAAATGATCATGTGATTACACGTTTGTGATTTAACGAAATGATCATAATATAAGCAATGCCAACATTAAATGATCAAATTAAAAAAGGTAAATTATGTGAATAGGCCATTTTGTTTAAGGACTGTTTGACTTTGATCACCAATTTAAAAACTAAGGGTAAATGACCCATAACAATATCAGTTCGTCTAGTTTAAGTCACTTATCTGTTAACCCTTAACGAATATGTGAAATAGCTGAGGGACTAAAATCAAACGATGTTAATGGTTGAGGGACTAAAATTGAAAGGATCGGTAATATTAGGGACTAAAATTGAACGGATCGATAATGGTGGAGACCATGTACCCTTAATTTTTAAATTGGTGACCAAAGTCGGTCAAACAAAAAAAATGACTATTCACATAGTTTAGCCATAGAAAAATTTAAAGTTTAGTAACCAAAACAAGAGTGAAACTAAGGTTGAGTAAAAAATGTAATTTAACCAATAACCATGAAATTGTTGATAGTGTAGGTGAAATAAGTGCACGTTCTTAGATGGAGTTGATTGGAGCATGAACTAGGAAGCGGGATTGTCTCAAGAAAGGCGGACTAATATACGGTGTTACCATATACATTAAAAGATATTTAACAAATTCGGTTTAGCGCTACCAGATATGTTGAGTAATAATAATATTGTAGGAGGAAATCATGAAGAAATATTAAAAAATTTGGCAACCGACAAACTTAGCTTGTCGGTTTGTGTCGATACAAATAAAAAATGTATCGATCCATAGCCATATAACAGGTAAAAATATGACAAAACCGGTAAAGTGCTACCGGATATGTTGATAGTATCGATTAGATTGAAATATGTATCGACACTTTTGGAATTTTGAAGAGAAGAAGGAATAGCGCCTATAAAGTGTCGATACTTTATAAAAATAAATCGATCTATAACAATATAACAGGTAAAAATATGATAAAACCGATCTCGAAATGACAAAACCGGTAAAGCAATACCGTATATGTTGAAAGTGTCGAATAAAAATGTATCAATCCATAACAATATACCAGGTAAAAATATGACAAAACTGGTCTCGAAATGACAAAACCGGTAAAGCGCTACCAGATATGTTGAAAGTATCGATTAGATTGAAATAAGTATCGACACTTTTGGAATTTAAAAGAGAAGCAGCAATAGCGCCTATAAAGTGTCGATACTTTGTAAAAATGTATCGATCCATAACAATATAATAGGTAAAAATATGACAAAACCGGTCTCCAAATGATAAAACCCGTAAAGTGCTACCGGATATGTTGAAAGTGTCAATACTTTAATAAGTACACGTAATAAATTATCGATACTGTCAAAGAAATAGGTAAATATCCTATCGAAAGTATCGACACCTGACATAAAAGTATCGACACTTGGGTAATTATATCGATTAAATATAAATAACATATCCAGTGAAAATATAAAGGGCATAGCTAAATTTCCTCTGAAAATAGATAGAACACGGATGAGTTTTTGAAATCGAAGCGTAATTGTTGCTGCATTTCAGAAGGCGTTCTAAAGCGAAGTTTGTTTGTTTGTTGCTGCAGTCGAATCAAAAAGTATGTTGTCGAAAACCTAGTTTTTTTATTATTACAGTAATTGGAAATAGGGTTTTTATGTGTTATTTGGGGTTTTTGAAGTAAATAAGCATTTGGGACCGATTACAGGTAGAAAGTGATATTCTAGGTAGATGATAAATATCGATACTTTTATTAAATATTATAGGTAGAAAATGATATTATAAGTTGTATAAATGTGTCGATACTTAGAGTATTGAGTGTTCTATTCGTTTGAAGGAAATAGGGATTTAGGTTTTTGGGTTTGGTTTAGGGATTTTGATTCAAAGCCAAGAAGGATTTATGACCGATTATATAATATTATAGGTAGAAAATAAATATGGATACCTGTATATAATATTATAGGTAGAAAATGATATTGTAGGTTGTATAAATGTGCCGACACTTGTTGTAGTGGACATTCAAATTCTTTTGAAGGAAACTGTTTTACTACAAGAGTAGTTATCGATATTTGTATATTGAATAAAGTGTATGTAACCAGTATTTGATTTGATTTGCGTAAACTGATATATGAAGGAAAAATGAAGTCAATGGGTGGAAAAATTGTTGGTGGCGAAGATGACTTTGAAATTGAGGTCGAGAGTCGAAAGCAGCCAAAGGGTGATTTTTCGCTTGACTCCCCTGTTCGATTAACCCACAAGATTGAACATCAATTCGGTTGGAAGCGTGTCAAGGATGTCGGATTAGATCAAGAGAGGGAGGAAATGAACCCCATTGGCCATGAAGACGACTAACCAATGGGAGATGCAATGATGGAAGAAGCTCTAGAAGCTTCAGGTGGAGATGATGTCACAATTAAGACAGTGATGAAATATATGGTCAAAGTTTATCCAGAATGAATACCGGTCGAGGTGCACGCATAAAGTTTCAATACATTTGAAATTGTATCGATCCCAAAAAAACTGAAACCGATAATTATAATGTAATGGGTAACTTTACAATGTAATCAATAGAAATATACCAGCTAATTAGAAAATAGGTCTACATAATGTATCGACACTTTTAAAATTTGTGTCGATACTTTATGTCGAGAATGAATGCCAAACAAGGTGCACGCATAAAGTGTCGATAAATTTAAAATTGTATCAATCCCAAAAACATTGATACTGATAATTACAATGTAATAGGTAAATTAACAATGTAACCGGTAAACATTTATCGATTTTACGAGAAAATAGGTTTACATAATGTATCAACACTTTTTAAATTTGTGTCGATACTTGTTGTCCAAAATGAAAGCCAAACGAGGTGCACGCATAAAGTGTCGATACATTTATTAAATTTATCGATCCCATAGACATTGAAACCCATAATTATAATGTAATAGGTAAATTTACAATGTAACCAGTAGAAACATACCGGTATAATTAGAAAATAGGTCAACTTAATGTATCGACACTTTTTAAATTTGTATCGATAACGTGTGTTTTTCCCTTCATTATTTATATGTCGTTATTTAACACCGTCGATATAAACCCCAAATTAAAAAACCCTAAAGGAAAAAGAGAACTCTTCCACTCCGACGAATACCAGCGTTCATAACACTTACGATTAGATCTTTATGAAAATTTATTGATATTATGGTATTCAAATTAGGTTTTGATTGATTTCTAGATTGGACACTTTTTTCCCTTCATGTGTTCGATAGGTATGTTATCGAACCCTAATTTTTTAGAATATTAGTCTTTAAAAATAGGGGTTAGGTTTTAAAGTTTGCTATTTTTGAATGGTTATAGGTTGAAAGTTCAATCTTTGTTCGCAAAGATCATGACCTTCAAATGGAGCCCCAACGTATCAACATTAAAGAAAATCGAAAGCGACCAGTAAGTATCAATGTATTCATGTAATTGTTCTTGAAATGGTAATTGGATTAAAGTATTTAATTTTGTATACGATTAATAATTTTGTATACGGTTTATAATTTTGTATACGGTTTATAATTTTGTATATGATTCATAATTTTGTATACGATTTATAATTTTGTATGTGAATGTAATTATGTAAGAGATGAGAAAAGTTAGCAATAGGTTGTTGTACATGTTTCTTATACACAGTAGGAGTCATGTTGATACTTACAATATATGGAAATCATTGTCATCATGTGGGGACTGAATGACCATTCTATTCCGTCTTCGAAAAAAATCAGTTGATGTAGGTTGTGTGATTGTATTCAAACTGAGCTTGACTTGAGGACATGTTAGTTTGTTATGTCCCTCACCATTGCAGAACCTACATCGCCTAATTTTCTTCTCGACCTTGTTCTTTGGTACTTTTTTCGCTTGCGT